TTCGTGAGTATTTGAAGAAAAGATTAGTTAATGTGGCAATGGTCATTTACAAGTCTCAAGGACCTCTAACACCAATTGTAACCAAATTTCTTGACAAAATAAAGAAAGAAGCATTCAATATGTTGTAATAAGGAATTGTGAACATCAATATTAGGTAAAAGTGTATGCTAAATGTGGTAGACTAATTGTATAGGTGATTGTTGGTAATGTAAGTCTATGGTAATGTATCGGGAAATAGGACCATGGGCAGACCAATGTTGTTTTGATCTAATGGACAAGGTTTGCTCATGTTGATGATGGGAGTTAACGGCATTCCTTGTAAAAGCCTTGTAGCTGCAATGCAATCTAGTATAGTGCAATTAATGGAGGTGTAGTTGATTTATCAGATTGTTGGGTGCACCTATATTATCATCTTGATACTTGGAAGACAATGTATCATTTCAAGATTAAGCTAGTCAATGGAGGGTCACCGTGGCCTAAATCAAGTTACCCATTAAAGATGCTCTAGGATTCCCTTTGCAAGTAACCTTGTATCTTTGAGTTTGAGGGAATTTGTATGATTTTCTTTACTTTTTCATCTCCTAGATCACATCTGCTAGAATAAATTTCTATACCAAAATTCAAAATTTGAAAATACAATAAGTCGTGCAGCTCTTTGTTTTTTTTTCCCGTGAACAAATATACATATATGACTAAGAGAATAAGTTTCCATATCATTAAGGCGTAAACAAACAACCTCTTACACAAACACATCTAGGGACATAATCAAATGAGAATCTAAAAAATGTTTGAGAGAACCAATGAAACATATATTATTTTATAGTATGAAGCATACAATGTTGTTTCACATCATGAAACATTTTCTTATATCTTAACCTTAGATAAAACAAATACATGTGAAACAATATGTTGGGATTGGTTATCACGAGTTTTCAGTTTTCAATATATTTTGAGGTTTGAATTGAATTAAATGAAAATCGCGAATATATTACAAAATTGCAGCCCACTTTTCATGTGTTGTTTTATAAAAAAAAATACATGTGAAACATGTAATGTTCATACATTGTTGTTTCATATATGAAACATGGTTCTTTTGTATGTTAATAAAAGACGATAAAATACGTTTATATATGAAACATCCACATACACATACACAAGAATGAAACATGTGAAACAATATGAATTATAGTTTAAAATCAAACTCATTGAATGGTTTTGGATTTTATTTGATTGACTAATCCTTTATATTGGAATGGTTGAAGAGTCAAATGGTTTGGCAATTCCCCATTACGGGTTTGTAATAAATTTACGGATTTTATTTGACTTTAATGTGTATGTGTATATATATATATACATATAGAGAGAGAGAGAGAGGTGACTTCTTTTCTTTTACTAACCTCTTACTTAGTACAAATTTACTAGCTAAAATTGATCACTGATTAATTTAATTAGTGACCCGCATTGATAAGGATGAAAATTTAGAAATAAATAACGAACCAAACGATTCCTTAACATGTTAAGAGTGAACAAGGGTAAAATGGTAATGTTTATTATGTTTTAGGAAAGGGATATGAATCATGTGAATCTCTCATTCTCGTTTTTAAGAGATTTCACCATTTTGAAGAAGATTTCGTCTGTTTTTTTAGGATATCAATCCCTACATCCTCCTGGATGATGTCATTTTTGAATATGTACAAGGTTGGTTCACTTATGAAATTTGTTTTCTAGTACCTATATTCATAGACTCATATGAAATGAGTTTCACTTGGTGGCAAGGTTTACTAATGAACTTTATGTTAGCGTTTGGTATGCAAACATGAATTGACAAGATTGGACATGACTGAACAAGACATAACTGGACATGACAAAAGGGTAAGACTAGACAAGATTAGACAGAACAACTGTTCTAATGTTTGTTATGATTAGAACAGGACTGGACAGAACCATACAAGTTGCCCCAAAAAGTTATTTGATATTTTATATATCATATAATAGTTATAATTAACAAATTTAATAATTCAGTTTATATACATAAATACATACATATATGATAATACCATAATCAAATAAAATTTTGATATAATTGATGGTAGTTCAAAAAAACTGAATTCATACAAAGGAGAACTTAAGTTTTATTTGGTTTTGAAGATCCTTATCAATTGGTGAAGGCATGATGAAGATCATGGAACAACAATGGTTGTGAAGGTAGAGACATTGGTGATTAGTGGATGATGGTGGTTACGGAGGATCCGAAGATAGTGGATAGTGGTGATGTTGATGGTCGACAGTGGTGGAAGAGATGGTTGTGATCGACATGGTGGAGGTAGCGGTTGTGGTGGGCAATGGTAGCCGATGGTGGTGGCGGTGGTTATGGTGAAGGTGGTAGTGGACGATAGTACTAGTGGTGGCGATGGACTGTAGCGATGGTGACCGATAGTGGTTGTAGAGGACGTGAAGATGGTAGATAGTGATGGTGAAAGCCAACAATGGTGGTAGAGGTAGTTGTGGTTGATGTAATGGAGATAGTGGTGGTGGTGGGCAGTGGTAGTTTATGGTGCTAGTCGTGGTTATGGTGGATGTAGTGATGGCTAACAGTATTAGTGGGGGTGGCGATTACGGTGGTGGTTTGTGGCTGATAGTGGTTGTGAAGGTAGAAGCAGTGGTGGTTGGTGGACGACATTGGTTGTGGAGGACGTGAAAATGGTGGATAGTGGTGGTGGCGGCAGCCGACAATGATGGAAGAAGTAGTTGTAGCCAATATAATGGAGGTAGTGGTGATGGTTAGCAGTAGGGTAGTGATAGCCGATTGTGGTGGTGGGTAGTGGTAGCCGATGGTGGTGGTGGTGGTGGCTATGGTGGAAGTGATGTGGGCCATAATGGTAGTGTGTGGTGACGCTTGACGGTAGTGGTTGATGGTAGCGGTGATGACGATGGACGGTGGTTATCGACAGCCGATGGTGTTTGTGGAGGTGATGTATGATGTTGTAGTATAGGAGGAGATGAAGGTGTCTGACGATGGTAATGGTGGTGGCGATGGACAGTGATGGTCGGTAGGCGACAGTGGTTGTGGAGGTGGTGAGAATGGTGGTGGTGGAGGTGGTAGAGGAGGTTGTTATAATGGAAGAGGAAGGGGAGGTGGCCGCGACTAGTGGTGGTGACCATTAAAACAAATACCACATTATAATGGCGACTAATGGCGGTGATGGTGGCAACGACTAGCGGTAGATTAGTAATATTTTAGTTTTTGCCTAATTCTCGTCCCATCTTGTTCCACCTATTTTGGTGAACAAGAACAAGTCTTTTTTGTCCCACGTTGTCTCACCTTGTCCCGTTCTTGTCTTTGTCCCATATCACGCCAAACGAGGAATAATGAGTTTTTGTTCTGTCCCATGTCACGTCAAACGTAGGACAATGAGTCATGTTTCGTCCTATCATGTCCTGTCCTATCTACCAAACGCAACCTATATATCAATGATGTATGTATATGTAGTTCACCAATGAAATGGTAACTGGGTTTCCCACTTGGGTACCATTAGTATTAATGTAAATTGTTATTTTGTTTGAATGTGATTTGAACACAACAAATAATTTTAATACATGTTAACAATACAAGTATGTTGATAAATGAACCATTGATTGCATAAAAAGTTCAATTGATTACATGATATGATGTGTGTTTTTTGAACATGTTTATGGATAAAACATATCAATGATTGATTGAGTTTTATTAATGAACATCTTATGCGTTTTGATTAATGGCCAGTATAAACATTTCAACGGTTTGACCAATAAACATGAAATAGTGAACAAATTAAATTCGTGTTCATAAAAATGAACACATGTTTTTAATACATTTAAAAAAAACCAATCAACATTGCCATAGGGAATCTTCTTCTTCTCCTTGAAGCCAAAATGGATATCAATTAAGATGACAATCATTTTTCAGAAAATAAGAAATAACTTTAAAAAAAAACTTTTTTTTTTGTTAATATAAATCCGAAAAAAACATAAATACTTTTAATGGTATTTAGATCAATTGGAAAAATAATGAAAATGAAAACAGATGGATGATTAAATTTGGTTTGTAGAGTTAAGGGCTGTTTGTTTACCTCTTAATAGTTTCATTAAGAGATAATCTCTTAATAGTTAAGAGGTAATTCTTGTTTGGCAAAAAAAAGTTTGTCTCTTAATAGTTCTAAAATCCTCCGAATGGTTTTCTATATTGGGCCTCCTTAACCATTCAGCACCGTGATTCCATTGTAAATAATTACCGAACAATTATATTTCATTTTACACTATATCATGAGAGCCACTTAATCATTATGACCAATTAATCATTCTGCAACTGTCAAACAACCTTTTAATACTAATTAGTTAGTTAGCAAATGATTGTGGGTCTATATATATACATACACATATACATATTAGAAGTGTAACCGCACAAAGGAACACGATATCTCGATTCTGAAGCAGAGAACTCACACCATTGATTCTGATTTTTGCTTCGTTTGATTCTCTGTCCATCTCAATCTTATCTTATGGTTTTATGAGGTATTTAGATATATAGCGATAGAGTTCTCGAATAGTTGTCAGTTATGGATTATTATGTTGTATTAGCAAGCCCACTTATATTATATTTGAATGTGTTTATCAGTTGGTTTTCAATTAATTTATTAGATTTCAAACATGGATCATTAAAACTAGTACATATTTTTTGATATAATTCTTTTAATAAAAAATTAATTATACATGAGATAATTTAAAATGAAAAATAAGGTAAATTTATGTATTTTGGTAACAAATGCCTTTTTATATAGCAATTATACATTACAAGAAGATATAGTTTTTGTGTTATCTTATTTAGGGACCGGTTGGGCATTGTTTATGAAATATAGGGTTCTTTTATGCCTTAGATGTATCTTGAGGGGGTTTATAGAAAATATGAACTCTCGAGGATATATATAAAGCGGAGAAGATTGAAAGAGTCTGTTGTTACCCAAAGATTTGATTTCAAAAGCAAAAAAGGAACAACACAAGAACAAAGATCGAAAGGGTTTTCAATGAAGCTTGCTCTCGATTAACAAAGGTAAAATTAAGTCGCCAAACCCTAATTTTTACATCTTCTTCTCCGCTGTGATAAACCCTAAACTTCACCAACGCGGCTTGACTGAGCGAGTCCTACTCGTTCTACTCGACCGAGTTTGAGAGCTGGAGTCTTGGTGAATGCCAACATTATCCTTGATGGATATAATTGACAAGAATTCTGTTTGGTAATTGTTGTTCACCTGATTATTTTGTTTTTGCATTCATATAATTTCAAGCTTTCTGAAAACCCTCATTGTTTTGTTGTCTTTTTCAAACAATGCATCATAGAATCTTGTTTCTTTATTTTCTTCATTCAGGTAATTTTCTTGATTCTGTACCTGCTTGCTTAGTTGATATGTTACATAGATATCCAATTTCCGGCTGATATGTTCCAGGTAGATCAACTTTGCTCATGGCCCCGACAAGAAAGTCTAGAAGTGTGAATAAGCGGTATTCCGACTATGTTGAGGTATCTCCCAGTAAAAGTGTTGCCAACAAATCAGGACGACAGGTCAGTATGACTTATATAACATGTCACGTTTTTATGCAAAGAGTTTATCCGACATCAATAGCTGAACTGAGCGTGTCTCTTGATTGGCCTGGTTATTTATAGTTTACTTTTTGTATATTACGGTTCTTAAATTCCGACCCTAAAAAATTTGTATTTGGTTCAGTCTCTATACAATGGTTGTATGTCATATGGATGGTGGCTGTACTTGCATAATGGTTTCTTGAGACCTGCATACGGGTTTGATCCTTATGTCTCTATTAACCGAGTCTCTTACGTCACCCTTTCTGCTTTGAAAGAGGGATTTGCTGACGTCTTGGTTAACAAAACACAGTAAATGATCATACGTTCTATTGCTGTTGACATTAGCTAATTGGTAACTCTTGCTTTCACATTTTTATGAAAACTGCTCGTGTAGAAAAAGACTGCAGTAAATTTTTCCTAAGCCTTGCTCTGCTGATATGCTTCTGAAGAGGGGTTTTCTGTTCTAACTCTTGCTAAAAAGGTCATACCCTTGACCCAGAAGACAGGGGCGCATCTACCCCTTGCCGAATCCATATGTGGTTGCTTTTGGTTAGTCTTCAGGGGTGTATACAACCTGTGCCTTTAACCATATCCTAAATTGTCGACCACAAACATGAGTAGATACAGGATTGGGATACAAGAAGACAACTTATGTCTTTCTATAATTGGAGATATGAAGTTCAAAAATTATAAAGCAAGGCTAAAAATTTAAAGTAACACTTAATTGTTATGTGTGCAAGAAAGAGAAAGGAGACGAGGCCACACAAATATTTAATGTATGAAGTACATATATTACTTATTTCTTTCCTTGTTTGGTTCAAGACATGTATGAAAAGGCTTCCTTCCTCCCCTTTAATTTCTTCGCTTCCTGTCAACATAGACATGTTTGAAGAGACCATTTAGCATGGGGCTGTGCATGTTCTATACTCTGTTTACTGTGAATCTTTGTTAATTCAGCATCAGATTTTAGATATTCTTTTTTGGATAAAGTAATATGTAGCAGTTCATTGTTTCCTTTAATTGACATAATATTTTTGGTGATAACCCTGTTTGATACCATAATCTTTTGCTCCTAGAAGAGGAAGCTTTCTGACATGATAGGATCTCCATGGACCGATGAAGAGGTTGAACGCTTCTATAAAGCTTATAGGAAGTATGGAAAAGACTGGAAAAAGGTCTGTTCTTCTTCTTTGTGGTTTAAATACTTTTCCAAAACCACACTACTATTTACAAATCACGTTTTTTTACATTTTTTTGATGCATTTATGATTTAGCTGTCTTCACCATAGCCAATCATATCTACCTTTCTGCTTTAGAATCTGATTGACTAATGTGAATGTGTTTTTCTTTTGTCATTCTTTAAATTTTATAGGTGGCTGCCATGGTGCGTACAAGGAACTCTGTAATGGTGGAGGCTCTCTACACAATGAATAGGGTAATGAGTCAAATGCAAGCTTGTTCCTATTTTCTCTTATGGATGTCTATATTCTATACAATAAAAAATTAATTCAAGTGTGTCTAAATCTTGTTTCTTATTATTGGTTGAGTGAGAAGTAGACTTTCAATACACAATTGCTTGTCTGTTCTTTTCGTTTCCATCTTGGTTGATATTATTGATTTCAATAAAGTTATCTTGTTGATTCGTATCATTTTTTAGAATCAGCACTCAGGGATGGAGAATTCAACCTTGTGACTTGTATTGATAAAGAATGTAGGGAATTTTGTCATGCCTGAAATAACGAAGGGTCCTATATTAGCAATTAGAATCAGGCAACTTCGTTCTAACAGGCATAAGTGAGATTTCTGATTGTAGCTGGATTAGATTAGGTAATTTTAGTAGTTAATATTTGAAGAAACCAATAAATACGGATTGGTGTATTGAGGAGTGATTTGAAAAAAATTTATCACTTGCATCAAGATTTGGATTCTAAATTTAGGGATAATTGAGAGGTTACCTTCACCATACTGAACTCATAGTAGATGCACACCGCTCTTTGGAGGAGGATGTGGCTGAGGGTTACTTTATTAGTTAGTAGTAATATTTTAAGGAGCAGCTAGATTTGTTCTTCTCAACTCTTAAGGCTTATGCTACTAGTAGAAGCTAGCCTCTATTTGTAAGAGGACATGCCCCTGGTTTACTTCATCCATTAATAGTAATATTTTGCGTATTATAAGTTAATAGCTAGTGGCTGGGTGGAAGGGAGTTAGAGAGGTAGAGGGTGGGAGATAGGGTTCTCGAGTTGGACTAGGGGTGTGTAATTTTCTTACCTTGCTAATGTTTTTCTTGTACCTGCTTCTATTTGTATGTTATTGCTTACTCTTAAATCTTAATTAGTTTTTTTTATATATCTTTTCATATATGCTTTCTTTGACACACATTTTAAAGCTGGGGGTCTTAATGGAAAGAACTGCTCCACTCTTTGGGGTAGAGCCTCCACAGATCCCACCTTTGGTTGGGACATACTGGGTTCATCTGGTTTGGTTTGGTTTGGTTAGTAATATTATGCGGATCATCTAGACTTATTATTCTCAAGCGTCTTAAGGCTACAAAGTTACTTCTCATGCTAGTATGCTACTGATATAGGAAGCATGTATCTCGTAGTGCATGCTATGTGCTGGAGTAACTGATAAATATGGTTTAGTGAAATATTTTTTCTCATGCTTTAGTTAAAAAAATGAATTTTTGATTTATGTCCTGATGGTAGCTTTGAGGCAGTAAAATTACCATTTTGACGCTTGTGATAGTAGCTTCCAGGCTTGAAGATTAACTTTTTTAAACCTCTGTTTCTAGGCATATTTATCTTTGCCGGAGGGAACAGCATCTGTGGTTGGGTTCATTGCAATGGTGTCTGACCATTATAATGCCCTGGTGAGATCATATATTACATACATATATTTGATCCGGTTATGTTGTGTTGATCTAATGTATTATGTACTTTGTGATGGTGTAAATACAGGAGCTTATGCATTGAATATCACTATCCTAGTTTGCTAACAGAGAAGTACACTTATATATGGAGTATTTATATATAGGTCATTGGTCATTTGTCTCATTAAGGCCCATAGAAGTAATGAATTAGTGTTTTCTTTTTCAACCCATGGGTTTTTGTTGTCATCTCCATTAGCTCAAAATGTTGGTCTTGAAGTTGATGGGAAATGGTTTGACAATCTTTGTTGTCGCTAGTTCAGCTTCTCTGCTTTTGATTCAATCCAGTCCATTTCTTGCTGTTGGGGCTGCGAATTCAACTACTTGGTGTTGCTAGACCATGCATGTACAATATGTGATTAGGTCTTGGTCTCATCTGGGTCTTCTGTTCTTGTTTTTTCTCAGGGTAGTTTCTGCTTGTTCATGCTATTCGTTATGTTTTACCTTATCTCCAAAAGTTTGATTTTATCCTCCATCTCTTTTGCTGCCTTCATTATGAGATATAATTCCTCCCTTTTTCCATAACTAATGTTGCATTTCAAATGGCATATATACCAGCAACCGAATTCAGGCTAGTAATGCTTCTGTACTTCTCAAATATATTTTTATAAGATATTTATGCCCCTTCATTAATGTTGGTACTGTTCTTTTGAGGTATGTTTTTAGTTTTCTCTTTCCTAATTGTGGTACTTGTATGTCGAGAGGTACCCCTTTCGTACACATCTCAGAGAAGATAAGAGAATATGTTCACTTTTGTACGATTGTACTTGGGGATGATGCAAAAGGGAAGTAGGAGAATTACTCTGTGATAGTGAGACCATGGGTTTTGTTCTCATGGACCAGAAAGTTTTAGTGTTAGTGTCATTGGAATTCTAGTTGATGATTTCACAGACCTTAATTAGCCTCACTATAGTTTCCAAGGTGGGATACCGTTTCACTTTATGCTATTTTAATGTGGATGTGGCTTATTCGGCACTTGTATATTGTGTTAAAATGATGGGATGTTGTCAACCAATGTAATTTATTGACAGGAAGGAAGTAATAGTGATCATGATGACAATGAATTTCCCAAGTTAATACCCAAGCCTAGAAAACGTAGCCATGGATTATTTCAGCAAAATGGGGGTGAAGATCAATTGCAATCCAGGCTAGCTGGTTCAAGTGATAGGCCTATGTCACAACTGAAGAGAAGGGAATCTGATGGTAAACTTCTTCAATCTTACTATGATTAACTCAATTGTAGTAGGGGTTGTCATTTTTTCTAAGTGTTGTTGCATTTAAATCATGAGTACAAGTTTTTTTGGAACTAGGAAGTTAGATATGTCTTGAACTCGGTAATTAATTCTTAATATAAGAGGGATCAAAACTTTTTTCACATGCATCTATTCAAATATTTAGAGGCAATCACATGCCAGAAAGTAGTATGTAACCCCCCTGATAGAGATCTCCTGATAACAAGTGTACCTGTTTTTCAATTACGGAGGTCTCTATTTCAGGTCATGGAAGTGAAGATTTATGAGAAGCAAAATGCCTTGTAATCATGCTTCTCATTTTATGGTGCATATAGTGCAACGGTTTGAACTCAAACACTACTTTAACAAAGCACTAATTAAGATTTTTTTTGCTACAGCAGCAGAGTTGGTTTCCAGAGCCTGTAAGACATTTTGATAAAGATTTCTAGAAAGTTTTGCAGGATATGCTTGCACTGGGCACTTTATGTCATTTTTTACTATATTTCTTATAAGCATGTACCTCAACATCAGCCTGGATGTCTATGCACATGCATATTTGGTTGAAATGAACTTCTAATAGTTTTAAATTAATGTAGGATGTACCGTTCGGAAAAGGACTCCTCGCTTTCCTATTAACCATTCATCTAGAAGAGACAACAGCGGATTTTATGTCTCGCCATACAAAAGAAGCCAAAAGAGAGAGGTTGATGACGTTGCACATGGTGCTGCATTGGCATTAACAGAGGCTTCACAAAGAGGAGGCTCCCCACAGGTTTCTCAATCACCATACAGAATTGACCGCATGAAAACCACACCTTTGAAGGGCAGGCAAAAAACTGTAATGATCTGGTTATTTACTTTTGTTGTTCTCTGTTTCAAGGTTATTCTTAAAAGATTAACTCTGTTAGATACTTTCTTTATGTATCACATGCCACTTGCAGTTGGACACTGCCAGAACCAAGCTACATGGTAATTTGATTGATGAAGACTGTTTTGAGGGCAGTTCAGGAAGTGGAGGAGCTGAAAATGGAGCATATCCCAGAGATGCTAGCATATTCATGGATACTGAAAATGTTGCTGCTGAAGATGTTCACCAGAAAGGGAGAAAGTTTTATAGCCAGAAAGACGATAATGAATTTGATGATGGCGGAGAAGCATGTAGCGGTACAGGAGAAGGACTTGCTGTTGGTAGCATCGGCGGGAAATTTGATATTGAGGTTGCAGATGAAAATATTGAGCAATCCTCGTCCCAGGGTAAAAGAAAAAGGAACAAAAAGCTTTACTTTAGAGGTATGATTGCTGCTGCATTCTTTATTTTGTGTGTGGTCATGGTTCAGTTTATATTGATTTTGTTCAGCTAGGTTGGAGGGTGGGGGTAGTTGATTTGGAAAGAGAACTCCTTTTTAACTCCTTTTTTGTTAACCCAATGGCCATCAATCATTTAGTTTGTTTCTTCATTTTGTCTTAGGATATCTGGAAGTGGAAATGTGTTGTATGTGGTCTCAACTTTGTAGGGTTTCTTTACCGTAGTAATGTGAACCATTTCAGCTTATTGCCTCATTAGTTTCTATATTCACTCCAGGTTTCACATCATAGTTTTAAGGAATGGGAATCAGGTGGGATGTACCATTTTGCAGAACTACTAAACTGAATGCAAATGTTGTGTCAGTTAATTGTGGTTAGCAAACACCAAACTCCTGCTAAAAGTGCTATCAATTCCTTGGGGCCATGCTCAATGGCCAGAAGGCCTGAAGTTTGGCTCTGTGGAGGGGGCTCTTATGCATGGACTCTGTGGACAAGTGGGACCAAAAGGTCCACTTACCACGATTATTCAAAAGTAATTACTGTTAGCTACAGTTCTTCAGTTCCATATGGCCTAAATCAATAGATTTTGACCAAAAAGTAATCATATTCTCTTCAATTTTGCATGCAGTAATTATACAAGATTTTATCCCACTTTATGTCCTAATAAGGCTCCTATAAGTCTCTCATAAGGGGATTTGTTGCACATTTATTAATCCTAGCTTTTCCACATCCATCTTAGATGTTTATGGATGTGTTATCTTGTAGTATCTATTAATTTGTATCATCGTGCAAGCTGCCATATAAGTTTTTGAATGTTAAGGCTATTAGTTGGGGTGCTAGGATCAGCTCCAAATTTTTACACCTCATTTGTGCAGATGAAACTTCTGGCTTGGATGCACTGCAAACGTTGGCTGACTTGTCGCTGATGATACAATCATCAAAAGTAGATTCTGGTAAACATATAATGCTCATATGTTTTTGTTATCATAAACACATGTTTGTGTGTGCACTGCTTTTTTCTTCTTTGTTTGTTTTAAACTGTCTACTCTGTATTTTTAATGTCTTTAGGGCAGTGACAGACCTGACTGTGCATAACTATATATATATATATAATGTGTTAATAGTCAATCAGAATTTATCATCCACCTTAATGAAGCCCACATGTGAATATAATTGGGACTGTTCTATTTGACTTGCACAATGTTGTTCAAAAGCACCATATATGAAGTCATTACTACTTCAGTGACACTCTACCTTTTGCCTATCATTATTAGAAACACTAAAGATATTGCAACTCGGAGTGGAGAAGTAAAATATACTTAGATCAATTGAAGAACATGGTTAACTAAATAAGAAACTTGAAAGATGATTAGATGAACATCTGATCAGGAGCAAGGGAGTCTTGTTATTTTTCTTGTGGTGTATTTATGCTTATTAAGTAGTCTGGTAAGAATAGGAATCATAGATTTTTTCAATGTAGTTGAGAGGCTCCATAAAAAATTTGTGTTTCCTTAAATACCATCATTGAATTCTCCTTTTTCTTGCTTGTTTCTGTCACTGGCTGAGGATTTGTTGGTGACTTTTGTCTGTCTTATGAAGACAACAGTTTAGTGGGTAACAGCACACACAAATGATTGGAAAACGCCATTTATAAACTTTCCATTCTACCAATGAATAATCTGTAGTAATTTGTAAATCTAGATTGGCTAGACTTGATCCAAGGAACTATACAAGTATGGTGGGAGGCCTAGAGTTTGTCTATTGCATGGGTTCCATCTTATGATATCTTCCATTGGAGCATCTCATATTCATATTACAACAACATTTTCATGCTAAATTTGAACCTTTTTGGCCCTAGCTTTACTGACTTTTGTATTTTGCTGGCTTATTCTGGTGCATGGTTATTCCGTGTATATCAGACCCAGCCAAGACTCGTATCGCCTTTGTCATTTTAGATCATGATATTTTTTCTTTCTTATTTGTACGGTCAGATCTGTCAGTCAACTAATTATTCCGACTTCACAACTACTATGGACTAAGAATTGTATTTATAGCTCGTCTTCAAATCTTTGTTCTCGGTTGGAAGAGCTTGTTGGCGCCTTTAGCTTTTAATATTTAAAGAGAAAGTGGTGGTAGTAAATAACAAACAATTTATCTTGAGGCTTTTATAATTCTTCTTCAAAAGACACTCGTTGCTTTGCTTCAGGAAGAGAACTGTCCCTTATATTTTCTTCCTTTTTTTTGCTTGCTGGTGCTAATGTTTATTTGATGTTGAAGTATCTTAATTTGATGTTCAAGTATCTTAGTCTGATGGCACTGATGGTATATTTGCAAATTTTGTGTGCAGAGTCGCCTGTATTGAAAGAGGATAAGCCACCAACTGGTATAAGTGACAACAATGTCTCTGGGAGACCCGGGTCTAATGGTCATCGGAGACACAAAACTAAAATGTCTGTTGACAAAGAGAAATTATTGAATGAGTTTCCTAGAGCTGATGCTTCTAAATCTGGAAAGTCTAAACCGGGAAGGGAATCAAAAGTTGATTATAAGGCTTTATCTGAAGGAAAACAGCTAGATCAGTCTATCAATAAATCATGGAAAAGAAAAAACAAATCCTCATCGTTTGAGGTAAGTGTTAGGTTGAGAACCTTGATATTTATTCTTTTATCATCCTATTCAGTTTGATTAAATTGTTTATGTATGTTTTACATCTTGATTAAGGGTCAATACAGAATGTTTTAGTATTTGTCATGCTAATGTGTTTGTAGATAGAAATATATAAACTATTTAATATGCAGGGATCATATTGGAAATATCACAGCAGCACTCATATAAATAAATATCCAGAATATGGGGTATACAGTTTGTCTAAGTCAATGCCTTCAAAACATGTACAGTCACCTTTGAGTGGACGTTGTGTACCCAATTCACTCCTCTCTTGCATCACTTAAGTTGCAGTCTATATGCTAAGCTTGCACTCCATATATTCTGCTGTACTGCTACTTAGGTTGGAACTCCATGTGTCATTATTAGGCTTTAGCATGTCTCTACTTCTATTAACAAAAAGTAGCTTGTGTGGCAGTTCATCATGCATAACCTTACAGATGCATCTATAACCAACATAAGAGAATAGGGTTTAAAAGTTAATTCTTGGTGTATCCTGTTGTAATTGGTCTATAAGTAAATTGCTGATCATCATCTATTTCCATAGAGGTTATTGTTCTGGCACATCTTGTTTTAATCACATATACATACCTTTTTCAGCACTTGTATGCCCTAGTCTTTTATATAGCCACAATTAAAGAGCAACTTATATACATTGCAGTCTCACTCCCCCAAAAGAAACAAGTGTTTTATCCATGTCCAAACTATTGATAACCTGTTTATTCGTTAAGCGGGTGTGATGTAGTGCTCACGTCAATCATTTTTCATGTTATCTCGTACCGTTCCTTTTGAACAAATAAAGTGATCTAGTATAGATAGAAAGAAATATACCCATATGATCAATACGGCTGAGTGTTGGCTGAAACTCATAAGGCGGATGAAATCAAAAACATATTTGGACAAGACGGTTTTTTTATTATCATAAGTCGCTAGTCTCGACTTCCTCTTCTTGACAAGTTATTTTTTGCATTTTGTATGAGTTTTCAAAATAATGAACATATGATGAAAGAGGGATGAAAAATATGTGAGGATGAGAGACCATTCCACTGACGTATTCCTTGCTTCCTTTTTTTTTGATTTGATTTTACTCTACTTTGACTTGTTATGTTGGATAGATCATCTTTCAGCTTTTTGCTGACCACTTTTTTTTTGTTTTTCACTTACTTTTTTGTTGCATTTGCCAATAACAAAAGTTATTCTCATTGCTAGCTAATAAGAAAGAAATTAGTGACTTAGACAATGTATTTCTCTTATTTACAACATGCTGAAGATATGTTCACCTTAATTTTGTTCACTTGTCACTTTTGTTGATATAATTTCAAGCAATATGGACTCCATCATTGAAATAGAGTGAAAATTGGTTCAGCTAATTTAGCCTAGTTGTCTTAATTTTATGTTCAGATTACCTAGTTTTTAATGCTCCAAATATTCAAGTAATGTTTTATTACTGCTTTCAAATATATAACATACTAGCGCCAATTGACATACCATAATACCCTCTATGAACTATGCACAAATAACTACATGTACTATGCATCTGTAGCTGTGTTGCAAACCAACATGTTCGATGAAATAGGTGATGTTATTGGGACATATGGACTATCTTCTGTTCTTGTTTTCTCTCTCTGTCTCTCTTGTTATTTCTGTATTCTGTTCGCCTAATCAGCAGTCAGCTCTTAGTCATGACTGTGCGGCTTTACTCATGCTTCGATGTACCTTATCAGTTACCTTCCTGAAGGGTATGCTCTTTTCTCCTACCGTAAACCAATAGTGTAATCAAGAATGTACTTGGTGGTTCGGTGCGAAATAAATTTTAGATTCATTCAATAACTTTTGATGAAAAACGTTGTCCTTAAAATAAGTAAAATCTGTGAAAGTTCTCTTTGGTTTCCCTTACAGTTATGTATATTAGCCAAGTGGAATATTGGAATATTACACTTTTTCATAGATTGTAACTGATTTGGAATTGCTTCAGTGCAGAGGAATATTCAGCATTCAAACTGATACTAGTTTATTTTTGTGTGCACTTCAGGCCCTTTTCAATGATGAAGAAAAATGTGCAAGTAAACCCTTATGTGCCAACCAAGATAATGTTCCTTCAAAAAATTGTAAGTCTACAAGACTTGTGGAGTATTCTTCTTCAAATAGTAATACGTCAAGGACAGGAGCTGATTCAGCAGTATCAACAGCACTGCTTCCGGCATCTGATGGTGTTGATTTGCCATTCAAACGACGAAATAAACGTAAGGTGGATCCAAATAGAATATCAAACCATGGTGAGATGAAATTGGCAAAGATTAATTTAAAAGATCAACCAAATAAAAAGATTGAGCCCCAAGAGGGGACGCTCTACTTAAAGGTAACCAGCAAGCGTCTTTCTTTATTCCTATCTCCATTATCTTAGTTGAGGGAATGTGAAATTAATGTAAACTTGTTCAGGATAAGGCTTTTTGTTGCCTTTCATCTTGTATGGTACGTAGATGGTCCACCTACGAGTGGTTCTATAGTGCAATTGACTACCCCTGGTTTGCTAAAAGGGAATTCGTGGAGTACTTGAATCATGTTGGGCTGGGGCACATTCCAAGACTAACCAAGGTTGAGTGGGGTGTCATAAGAAGGTACTTTATTTTATTTTGCTTAATTTAGACAGTTGTGCCTATAACCTTGCAATTGTCGGCAACAAAGATTATTGATGTTCACATTCCTTGTTTTTCAGTTCTTTGGGCAAGCCCAGAAGGTTCTCAAGGAATTTCTTGCATGAAGAAAGAGAAAAGCTTTGGCAATATCGGGAATCTGTGCGGAAGCATTATACTGAGCTTCGAAGTGGTATTAGGGAAGGATTACCAACAGACTTGGCACGGCCATTGTCGGTAGGGCAGCGAGTGATTGCCCTTCATCCAGAATCAAGAGAAGTTCATGATGGAAGTGTGCTAACTGTTGATCATGATAAGTGCAGGATTCAGTTTGACCGTCCCGAGTTAGGGGTTGCATTTGTCAAGGTAGGCTGCTCAACTTGTATTGACTACAATCTTTTTAAAGTTAATGATCCCAACTTTTGACTCTCTTTTAAATAGTATCACCACTGAAGATGTTTTTTAATATGATGCTTAATATATTTGCATTTAAGCATGTTAGTACATGTAATTGCTGTATTTCATATAGATTTAAGGTAGGGACCTGGAGGTGGTTTGCATAAGAAGTAGGGAGTTAGGGACGGCGATGTTAGGACGAGGGGGTTAGAGAGCCGTCAGTTAGGGTTTCAGAGGCATGCATTTGATGGAGGGTGCTTGTGTTGTGTTTTCTTTGTATATGTTTTTTGTGCCTTATTGCTTAATATGTCCCCTTTTCTCTTCTCTCACACTTTGGCACAAGCCGGGAGTTTTCACGGAAACATCTGCCTCTACCCTTGGGGGGGGGGGTCAGGACTGTGTACTTCCCACCCCTCCTAGACTCTGCTTTTGAGCAAAATATACTGAGTTTGTTTAGTTTTTTAGATTTCGACTTCGTGACTATAGTTGCCTCTTAGGTTCGAGTTGTTTGGACATGCTTGAACTTGTAATTAGAGTGAACTTTATTTACAACAACTAACATTTATAATTTATGAATAATTTTATGTGTAATTATTTTTTATAAAATCTAATATTTATATTATATATATGCACAAACACACAGGACCACATTCTCTTTCACACATTATTGCCACCGCACATCATCTTCCAGTTGACCCTGACACACTTCATCTTCATCTCACGTTGTCACACAGCCACCACATCCTCATCCGGTTCTAAACCCACAGCCACCACATCCTCCAGTTCTAACGCCATGCACATCCACCACATTCACCATCGCAGCACCACCCATAGCCACAGTCCCACCTTGTCCAACCTTGATCTTGTCCCATGTCATGCCAAACATGTGACTCTTTTTATTTGTTCCCTCCAGTACCATGTAATCTGCATACCAAACACACCCTATAAGCTGGATGAAGATTCCAATTATATGTGTTAAGCAATAATGTTGAGTTGGTGATTTGCCTGTGCCCCTCGGTTTGGCTTATGTACTTGTACTCTGTTTTTTCCCACTTATTATAATTGTGTTGGGGAACAAGATTAGACCTGAAATTGCCCATTTAAGGGTGAACTTAACCACTACGCTTCATCTTGCAGTTTACCAAGTTTTTTGAAGTAGATACCCACTCTTCAGATTTCGATAGTTATGTTAGGGTATCTTATAAAAAACCCACTCTTGATTTGACCAGGTAGTGGTGAAATCGTTGGGATATGTACATATTTTTTAATATTTGATATTTTGGTTGTTCTTTCCTTTATATTTCTCTAGTTATTTTCGGTTAAAGAGTTGGTATATGGATTATTGGGTTTGAATAACTACTTGCCTTGATCAATCTCTTTCATGTCTAAACTATGCTATACTTTTTTTCTTGACATGCTTATTCAAAGATTATATTCACAAATTTTGCCAATGTTGCTGTGGTTCATTTGTAGTTAACTCATCTACAAAAGTTGGATAGAACTATCAACAACCGAAATCCTTATCCAACCCGTAGAAGGTTCTTAACTATGTCCACTATGTAGGCCTGATCTAGTGTCCACTATAATCGGATCACCTGAGGATAAACATGATCAATGGCTGGATGAGAGGCTGTAAATGGTCCATCGCTGTGAATGACTGTCCATGCACTCTTTTTCTTTAAGCTAGTAGTAATACTTGAAGTGATATTATATAGTATCTAATACCCTTTTCATTTGAGGTATAGGATACGTGTCACACTAGTGGAAATAACACATTTTTATTTTACCCCTTTGTGATGATTTATGTTGTAAATTGGAATTGTTCAATGTTGTGTACAGTTGGTCTCTTTAATGTTGAATCACTGATTCACGTTTTTGGCTGTTACATTGAGGGCCAATAATGAATTACTGGAGTCAAGATGCCTAAGATTTGGGTTTGTTTGTCTATTGTATACTCTAGAGCTCAAGCCAACTAAGCTAAGCTGAAGCCATTAAAAATCTTCAAGAGAATGGACTTGCCATGAAACTATGTTCATATTTTATTTGTATTCACAAACCTAATTTGACGGAGTTTATATGAATGGAGGTTTGCTATCTTATTGAGCCCTTTTAAACCCATTAATGGACCATAACAAACCATTATTGGACAAACTTGAACTTAATTCTGTATAAATAAGACTACATTTTTCTTTCTAATATTTATCTTAAATCTTTTTTTAATAGGATATTGATTGTATGCCCTTAAACTTGTTGGATAACATGCCTGAAGCTCTGAGGAGAGAAAGCAGTGCACTATATAGGTTTTCTATGAACTCTGGAGAGCCAAGGTTACCACAATCAGCTACCGGATCATCGATGTTATACACTTCGAGGGAGCATTTCGAACAGAGTCCTACCATTGCTTTGATGAGTCAGCGACCGGTTAGTCGTCTAAATGATTTGCTTTTTCCTGTCCTGGTAAATAATTGTTGTTACATTCGTATTCCGAAGATATTGCTAATCTGGCGACATGTTAATTAATTTACTTGCAAGCTTGCACATTGATTTTGTGGATTATAGCACCAAACAAGGAACAGTACTAAGAATGCTTTAGTCTCTTCCCTAGTGTATTTTTTGGTAGATAATCCTTTTCTGTAATCAGTTTTGTTGGACAATGCTAAATGCTGTTACAACTAGAGTTGCTTGAAACTCACTAGAGGCATTCAGACTTTTATAATTGTAGATATTACCAAATCAAACCAAGCAGACCCAGGGAATCCCACTCGAAGTGGGGTCTTGGGAATGTAAGATGTACACAGCCTTTTTTCTACCCTAGGCGTCAAGAGCCTGTTTCTGTGAAGACCCATGGATCGCGAAGATTAGCAACTAACATAAGCAAGAAAAGAAGATTTGAAGACTGGGAAAAGGGCTTGGAGCAAACATGGGAAACAAAGTACATGCATTAAATAATATGGAATATGCTTAAACAAGTAAATCAATTATGCACATTCAATGCCATGAAATAAGATTAAACAAGCAGACGAAGTACATACAATCAATGCCATGAAAAATGCTTAGAACAACTGAACGAAAGCAACAAAAGCAAAAGGGGGACTACTAGTCGGCTAGGCAACCTAGCACGTAAGTGGTCCAAAGGACCCACTGGCAAAACTCCCACAAACACTACTCCTGGCTACCCCACCTACCTTCCATAGGACTTAGATCCCGGGTTGTCTGCTCTTTATCCCCCCAAGGCCCCAACCCGCCTGCAACCACAGTACCCACAGATCCTCACAAACAATCTGCTACCCTAATCTTATGTTTCCACAAGCTCCTATCTGAGGTCATGTCTTCAGGAATGCCTAAAGCTGCCATGTCCAGTCTTAGTTGTTTATCCCATCTTCTCCTAGGCCTTCCTCTCCTTCTCACCTCCTCAACCCCTACGCTCTCCAGTCTCTACCCTCAGTGGTGCTGACAATTGTCTGTTTCGAACATGCCCAAGCCATCGCAGTCTTCCCTCTAGCAGTGATAGGCGCTACACCGAGCTCTGCTTGAAATACCTCATTTGGTATCATGCCCAAACCACTGCAGATGTATTGGAGGTTTACAATCTTGTTACTGTGATGGACTGCAACAAATATAACGGACAGAAGTTTTTTTCAGATAATGAAGAATTGAAAGTTTAACTACTTCTAGGCCTTCCTAGGAGATGGATAAATATCTTGATTTTTTTACCAGGCCACTAGGAGCTATGGGTTTGATGGAATCCTTGAAATTTTGTGTATTTTTCCTCTGCTTACAACTTATGCTAAAGCAGCATCCATAATTTTTCTTCATTAAAGAAAATCAAATGTATTATTAAACGACATGATCACATGATCTTCTTTTGCACCCGAATGAGTGTCTTAGACTTCGAATTTCAAGTAGCAAAACAATACTTAGTGTCAGTTATCATCATTGTTGGGGAAACAAACTAAAAAGCATTTTTGTGCTTTTATATTTAATATCGTATCCGAAGAGCTTATGACTTGACTGAATGAATACAACTGCATGCATACATGGTAGAACCTAATGTTATGTAGGCTAAGCATCTAATGTTGTTCAGGGACATAATGGGTCTGGTGCACCTGCTAAAGCTGAGGACAATGTCATTTCACAGCATGCACCTAATGCTCCTCCTTGTTCAGTCTCTCAAATCCAGGCGAAAGAAACCGATATACGCGCTCTTTCTGAGCTTACTCGTGCTCTTGATAAGAAGGTTATTTTTCTGTTCATATTTTTCTATGTTGAGTTCATCACGTACATTTTAAATTTTTTTAGCTGAAAACATTTACTGTGTCACCACCTATTTTATCTATTTATTCAACATCTGTTAGAGGGATAAGTTAATTCAAAGCGTGCATATGATACCAACTCACAAAACAAGTTCATCGAATAATTTGCATAGATTTGCTGTGTGTGATTTCAGCAATGATCTACATGCTTGTGAGACCTTCATGACGACTCATCTGGCATTAGTTAAACAGTCATAACTCAAGTTCTAGATTAACAAACCTCTGCATGTACAAGATTTCTACCTCAATTTACAAAATCTTTTTTTGACAATCACCAGATGAGTGAACAGAAACAACCTGATACACTTTTATATGTAGTAACATCTGTATCTCCTAGGAAGAGAACAGATTTTTGTAGCTATTGAACATCAAAGTTTCTTCAGCGGACTTGAATATGTGTGAGACAGCTTAAACAAGATAAAGAAAAACTTATCTCTTCCCTCTTTCAACTTGCAAACTGTGCGGGACTGATTCCTCTAAAGATGCATGACAAAATGTTCATATGGATTTGCATTTTAGGAAGCAATATTGGCGGAGCTTAAGCTTGTAAATGACGGTTTGATGAGTCACGAAAATGAGACAGGCATTGCCATGAAGGTATCTGAAAGCTTCAAAAAGGAATATGCAATGGTACTATTACAGCTCAAGGAAGCCAGCGATCAGGCATGTGGTTTACTGATGACAAATTCTGTTACATATTTGATAGCTTCTTTTTTCCACTAAAAGAACTCTTGAAATATTCTCAGGTTTCTTCTGCTCTTCTTAACTTAAGGCAACGTAACACATACCCAGGAAATCCTTTGCCTCCTTGGCAGAAGCTCCATTCTAGTTCCAGTGGCATTATTGGCCCTACGAGTTCTGCTGACAATTTTCCATCGAATAATCAGTTAGCACCTAGTGTTGTTGAAATTGTTAATAATTCAAGACTTGAAGCACATAAACTTGTACATACTGCCGTGCAGGTAATGAAATTTCTGAAATCTTCTCTTTTTCTAACATATGCAGTTGCTGTTTTAGTACTGTAAGTGGCCGAGTATTATCTTTCTTCTATACTTTGTAACTTTTACTACCGTTGAACTTCAAGATATTGTAAAAAAGATAATTGCTTGATGCTTACCTGCCTGTAACGTTATCAATTTTACAAGGAAACAAATCAGTTATCTGCCTAGAGTTTTGACCATGTATAAAACTACGTAAAGTGGGTGTGAGATCTGCAGGAATTTGCTCACAAGGGAGGGGCTTTAGCATTTTACATTCACTCCCTATAAGTGAAAAAAGATCTTCATTATATTTCATATGTATCTCTAATCTCGATTGGTCAACACACTTCATTAACAATTATGTATCATATGGTTTTTTGGGGATAAAGATTTTGTATGATATGATGCTCACTATATATATGTGTGTATATATATATATATAGAGAGAGAGAGAGAGAGAGGTGGGTTCAAACGAGAATGCGGTCAATTTGCGAGAAAGGCCAAATGATACGTGATACAAACATGTCGCGTTGACTAGTCATCATGGGATGAGTTCTCACACAACCTTGTTTGTGTTGACCAAGTCACTCGCATCCTTTTGGAGGTGTTGTATCACATGTGATTTTACTCTAGAATCACATGCGACCTGACCCTGGCCTTGCACTTCTTCCAAGTTGACCGACTTCTCTCATGATCCTCCATATATATATATATATATATATACATATACATACACATTTCATTTGTTTACCCAAAAAGTGTGAAGGTTGATTAAATTCTAATCAATGATGGTGTCAGGCAATGTCTAAAATAAAGGTGGAGCAAAATGTTCTTTCAAGTGTTGTAGCAGTTCTAGATTCTCTGGGTGTGGGCAAAAACCCCATTGAATATGGGTCATCAACAATCAGACATTCAGAGCAACCTAACGGGGGCACATATAAGCACAAATTGAATTGTACCCCAGATACTTCACTAAACAATCATGCATCCGATTCTAAGTTGCAGCGTGAGTCTGATGAAACTGAAGCAACAATCCCCTTTGAGCTTATCGTGTCTTGTGTTGCTACATATCACATGATACAGGTGAGTATTAAACTTTGCAAGACACAACACCCTTGGTGGTTTCGTCTCTTTAACAGGCACTAAATGGAGTTTGTTTCTTGATCTTTTAAATGAATAAGATAATGCTTTACGTAAACTTCATTTACTCCATCTCATGGAAATTGTAACGCTTTCCAGTTTAATTCGTACTATGAAAATTGCAATGTTTCTTTTTCTTCGTGGGTTTTGAAGTTAAAGTTACATAACTTCCTGTTATCATTGTTGCAAATTAATTGATGCTACTGATTTGTATACATAATGTTTTAGATATTTGACAATTGAGACATATCTTGCAATTTTCATGTGATTCAAGACTGCTTAAAACTGAGTTTCAATTGTTAATGATTATGCAGATGTGTACTGAACGACAATACCCACCAGCTGACGTGGTTCAGATGCTGGATTCTGCTTTTACAAACTTGCATCCACACTGCCCTCAAAACCTTCCAATATTTAGAGAGATACAAATGTGCATGGGAAGAGTTAAAACTCAGATACTTGCTCTTGTTCCATCCTAAGCAAGTTTCCAGGTTCCTTTCATGTACTAGTATCTCTTCTCTTCATCATTATACGATTATTACTACAACTATACTATACTTGAGGATATGTTGTCTTTATCTAATAATTGTTACTTATACAGAAGCTAGGCTCTGGATATTATGTCTTAACTTGAACTTTAGGACATTGTAATAACCAATCTAGCAGTTTGAGGTCTACCAATTTAGTTACCTTTTTCTATACAGTTGTGTGCATGTGCTATCCTAGTTGGTCAAACTGCATGCATATAACTGTTGCATAAAAGTGACTGGCGTTGAGTCACTCCCCTTGGTCTTTTCATTTTTCACCTTTTTGGGTAACCGGGGGTGTCCACGACTAATCCCATGGACCTTTGAAGATAACAGTCAGGAAATCTCCAGTGATCTACTTGAACTGCCGACCTATGGGAGGATTCCCAAGGCCTAACCTATATTTTGCGGTTGAGCTGGCCCTCAAGGTTCGATCCCCTTTATTTTGTGAAGACTTGCTGTGAACAAGAATCTGTTGTGGGTATTTTTATGTCTTCATTGTTATGATCTGAAAATCAAAGAATTGTGGGGCGATGGCAACCCTCGACCCCGTTTGTTAGATTAAGTCCTGCTGAGTTCTGGTTTTCTAATTTATCTGGTATGTTACTAACTAATGAATGATTTGTGTTCATGTAAGTGTACTCTTTTGGATCTCATTTCAGTTTTTAGGGTATATCCTATTGGATATCCAAAACAGCACGAAAGAAGCATTATCATGAGCAGGAAAACTGACTTCATGTGTAAGAACCATGTGTTCATCAGAATCCATTGATAAAAGGTGCTTGATGACATTGAGGTCAGAACCATGATATAGGTTATGTTCGTCTTTCGAGCAGTTGTTTTCAACCCAAAACGAAAGTAGTCTGATGGAAAAACCAGTGTGTTATTAAGTGGATTTGGACTTTTACCAACGAGTGATCTTGCAGTGGCAAACGACGTTGGTAATGTCAGATCCAACATTTGGAAGAAAATAGCAATCGTCGTCGTAGATTTACATGTCGGTGCAGGAGGTGATCGACCCTAGTTGTATATAGTTTTTTTGGAACAAACATCAATTGTGGAATGAAAGAAGGATGAGTAATTTTGAGTTTCAAAGTCAACATGATTGGTTTGAAGTCCACTTTATCACATGGTAATGAGTAGCAATGAGGACTCCTACAGATTCCACATTAAATTAGGCACCACTCCTCTTTCACATGTTCAATGCCTCTATTCTATTCCCACAAGTCATTTATGAGATAGATTATGATTTATGGTTACAAACGAATCGAATCGAGTCGAGTCGAGCTGTATTAATAATACCATACTAGTTAAACTCGTTATGATTAAAAAAGAAAGATGGGTAATGACGTTTTAGATGTACTTTCAACTTCGAAACCAACCCAAATAGAGAAGGATAATGCATTTTTTTTATGTTAAACGTGAGTGTTCGGATCAACTTGCACGTATCTTGACTAATCTAATGAGATCCGCCAAACAAACCCTCCAATGGACTTGAGTGAACTTGAACCGGTAACCTTTGAAAGGTCAAACCGATATAACTACCCTTTAGAGTGGGTTATAATGCACTTCCTGTTGTAAACTAAAACAATTTTGATTGATGAAGTTAACCGGATTAGGAACCGTCGCAATTTCATACACACAAGCTACAAATGGGATTCGTATTGGAAATGTGTATAAAATGCTAATAACAATTTGATGCTAAAACAGATACGGTGAATGAATACGAGGTTTATAACGATCTCGGAGGTTTCTCTAGCAAAGCCGACAAGAAAACTTCATCTTTGGATTTAGGAGAAATTGCCCATTTGTGTTTCTTGTACCTAAACTGCAGAAACATGTACATATAATCATCCAAATCCTTCCGGTTGCAAAAGAATCTATCGATCCACAATAACCCTCCCGGCCTCAAGATCCGGTCCCAATCGAACAAAATGAAATCCATCAGTTGTAGATCGATCCACCCGTCCATGAATCCGGTTGTATGGATCAGATCCATGGTATTATCGAAGAATGGCAAACGTTGGTTCAATGTTATATACAGAGGAATCAAACCTCTAAGAGCAATCATTTCGTTGAACGGTGCTCCAAGATTCAAAGCCGTTGAAACAATTGTGACGTTATGCTCTTGCATACGGGCAGCAAACGTTCCGGTTCCGATACCGAAATCGAGCCCGATTCGGATCTCCCCGGGCTTAACGGCTAATGCGTCTTTGATCAAGAAATCGGTTAAAAGCGAAGTGTTGGTCACCCATTTGAGCTTTTCTTTCTCCATCTCAAAACAACCGGTGCATTTAGAGTAACCCCGTTTCGGATTCTTGATCGATAGACACTCGAAGTTTCGACACCTGTAGTTGCTCCATCTAACATTTCGCCCATCTGGGATCCGCCACAAAGATTCGTTGATTGGATACGGCTTCTGGTAGAGTTTGGAAGCCCGTGTGAGACATCTTCTTCGCGGCAAAGGATCACAACCGTTGATCATAAGATTCTGAGCAACGTTCCAATCGTCTTTACAGAAAGATCCTATGTCGTAATCCATATATTCTTCGAGTTCCTTCTTCATCGACACACACCCGTGCCCTATCGTGTTAAAGATCTTCTGGCTACCATATATGTTCTTGTTCCCAACACGAGTTTCCTTCGGGGTTATATACTTTCTTATCTCTTCGGTAACGAAAGTATTGATCAAAGGGTCCTCATTCGTCGTCCCATTTTCGACCCTAGGCAACCGTAGCTGCCGAAGAGCGATATGAGCACCATAAAGAGGATGAATGACATCTTCTTCTATGAATTTCTTGTAATCCAACATTGAAACAGTGTTGTTAACCAAATCCTTAATCTTTTCCATCTGTTGCACCTTCGATTCGAGGTTTTCCTGTAACTTGAGCATTTTATCTAGCACTTCATCTACACGAGCAGAAAGAGACATGACATCAAACCCTTCATAAACATCTTTGACCCCATAAAACTGTTTGCAGATGTCTTCATTATGCATGAAGAATCCAGCTGAATAGAACCTAAATAAGCTCGAAATGCTTACGATTATAACCAGCCCACCAAGAAGAATCTGAATCATGCCCAGTAGTCTCCCTATTCTATACTTTGGAAAGCATGATATCTTCATCCTGAACTATCAAACCAAACAAAACCACCCCAATTCGTTCTAAATGCTAATAATCAGTAGAACCCAATTGAAAAAGTCATTGAACTTTAGTCGAGATCTTACCAGGCAGAGTTTCTCCGAATAATGAACAACATAAAGCCCCAAAATCCTGTGATCAAGTTGGAAGAGAAGAGTCTGAAGGTCTGAATCAAGATTTAAGCGTAGTGGGGCTTAAAAAAAGGCACATTTTTGCTTAAAGGCGACGAGCTGTAAAGTCGTGAATCTTAAGCATACCAAACGTGGATAGTGAGAGAAATTGCAAGAATCAAAAAAAGTCGAGAATTTAGCAGTAAAATAATAAATCGCGTCGGGAAATTGGGTAGAGGAAGAGTTGACTGATGAATGATGGTGGGTTAGGTTTACGATGACTGCAAATCGGCCCATTTTCCGCTGAAAAATTGAAAAAGGTTTCGTTCGGTTGAAGATGCAATACTTGTTTAGTGTTATATTATCTTTGAGTTGGTTCATCATCTGATCGGCAACAATTCTGTAAATAGATCGCCGGAATGCGACTGGGAAGCCATGAAACAACACCCCATGCATCACCTTTTTGACACAACCAAATATTTTTTTCTCAAAAACAAATTAATTTGGTTTGAATTTTGTATTTTTAAAAGAAAAAAAGTCTAAAAAAAACTCAATGGATTTTAGTGTTTGAAATGATTAAGTTTTTAGATATTTTTTTGAAACAAATAAGTCATTGGACATTCCAAAACTTATTAAATAACTCATTGAACTTTCTAAAACATGTTAGATACATCCTTATGACTTATAAAACTTGTTAATATGGTAAAATAATGGAAAACATCTCGGAAAAAAACCCAATTAACTTTCATATTTTGAATGATTAAGTTTCCAAATATTTTTTGAACAAAAAAGTACTTACATCTATAAAATGAAATAAGTATACCAAAAAGTATTTATATTAACGAAAAAATACTTACATTTAAAAAAAGTTATTGATTAAATTTATTTTAATTAAAAACAAAAAATATTTTATTAGTGATTTTCCAAAT